TGTGGAGGTGGATGAAGAGAAGGAGGGGTTAAAGGAGATTTTTTGGGCCTCTGAGAAGTAGAGGGACGATTGGGAGGAGGTGTCGTACGAGGTCTTGTTGATACCAGGGTTTGTGAGGGAGGACACAAAGAAGTGAGGACAGACTGAAGAGTTGAAGTAGGGACGTCTGAGCCCAGGACAGCAAAAGAATTAGATACAGGAGTGACTATGAGACTGGCAACTGCAGAGGAGGCTGCAGAAGATGTGACCCCAGAAGTGGGGGGGACGCTTTGAAACACGAGACATAAGGAAGACCCTCTGCCTCTTTGAGGCAACAAATTTCCCGCTCATTTAAGTAGACTTGGCAATGGTGAGAGTACGAAGGGTGAGCCTCATGACAATTGAGGCAAGAGGGAGTTCGACTGCAAGACGTATTAGAATGGTCATCGGCACCACAGACTGGGCATTCGGCTATAGATCTGCAATATTTTGCTGGGTGGCCAAATCGCCAGCAATTCCTACACTGTTGCGGTGTAGGGAACACCTTCCGAACTTGTAACCGATGTCCTGCTACATAAACAGAGGATGGGAGTTCACGGCTGTCAAAAGTTAAACGAGCCACATTGCAAGGGTATCGTCTTCGCCTGCGGGCAGGAAGAACATAAGTATCTACCTTGAGAATTGGGAGATCTTGGAGTTCCAGCTGTTCGAGAATGTCAGTGCCACATGTCTGGAAATTCTGTTGGACTATGGTATGGGGCAGAATAACAGTACCACTACAAGAATTGAGGGAATGATGTTTTTCGATAGTGATAGGAATAGTATCGATATGTGAAAGAAGAGAAAGATCATGAGCTTGAGTAGAATTCTGGACTGTGATGATGCGCATACCACTCTTAAGAGCATGAAAAGAAATATCTCTACCAACGTGACGTAGGAGCGCTTTGCCAATACTATGGTTGGAAAGATAGGCAGTAGAAGAAGTCGGTCTTAATGTAAAGAATTTAGTCCATTGTGTGGTCTGAAACTGAGTGCAGAGAGGGAGTGCATGACGTGTCGGTCTTTTCCGAGTAGAAAGGGAAGGTAATGAAGTAACATCATTAGGAGATTGTCGTTGATGTTTAGAAGTGGGACCAGAGTCGGTCCGATGTGGGATGGGCTGGCGATTCGAAAATTGCCGCACCGTAGAGGGAGAAGCCGGAAGCATAGTCAAAGGAGAGCAGAGGCCAGACAAATCGAAGGAGTCAGTGGAAGCCCCGGTACCTGAAGCGGGTGAGGAAACAGCACAAGCAAGAGGTACAGGGGCCTTAGGAATATCCGAAGAGTGGCCAAAAGACGAGGTGAGGTCAGAATGGGGTGCGGTAACAATAAGGGGCCCTGGGGTAGTAGGGTCATGGATCGGGTACTCCATGGTTAGGTTACTTCTTTCTTTTTGTTTTTAAGAAAAAAAAGAAAGAAAATAAAATAAAAATAAAAAAAAGAATAAAAAAAGGGGGGACCGGGGAGGGATAGTTCCTAGGAGGAATGAAAGGGCCAGAAATCTCCCTCCGCGCCCAAGAGGACCTCAGCACCGCAAGTAGCGCAGATGCAGCATGGAACCCGTGCCATACCCTACCCATCATGCCAGTAAACCAGCAATCCGGGATAGCAACCTCACATCTGCCGAGCTACCTTGGTGGACAAAAGAGAGGGCGGCCGGATATCCGCCACAAAGCGTACCTCCTTCGGCCACCACCCCCGGAATCCAAAAGGTGGCTTCCAGAGATACACCCGTCGCCCGAAAGACACCCAAAGCCACCCTCCTGGATACAGGAGAGGGATCGGGACATCCCCAGGCGATCCAGATTCCATGGCAAACTACGCCACCGCTAAGAACCTCAACGGAATGGGATGGACCCTGGTACCCTTTCCCCTACCCAGGAACTAGCACGCCTGTGGGAAAAATCCCAAAGGCCAAAAAAGGAAGGGCAAAAGGGAGGGGTGGGGAGGAGGAGGAGGAAAGGAAAAAGGGGAGGATGGGATAGGGAAGGGGAGATTGGGGGGTAATTAGGTTCGGTCTGAGGAAGGAGACCGACAGGTCTAATTCCTCAGACCAAGAGCCTCTTCACCACGCCAAGGAGCCCCCCCCCCCCTTGAAAAGGATGCAATCCAACAGAGGATGGTTACAATTTGAAAATGTCTCTTAGTGGTTTACAAGTCACAAATGTAACTATAGGTATCAACTAATAATGATGTTTTCCTCTAAAACCTTTTACAGATGGAGAGACTATTTTTTTTTTTTTTTTTTTCAACAAGTCGGTCGTCTCCCACCGAGGCAGGGTGACCCAAAAAAGAAAGAAAATCCCCAAAAAGAAAATACTTTCATCATCATTCAACACTTTCACCACACTCACACATTATCACTGCTTTTGCAGAGGTGCTCAGAATACAACAGTTTAGAAGCATATACGTATAAAGATACACAACATATCCCTCCAAACTGCCAATATCCCAAACCACTCCTTTAAAGTGCAGGCATTGTACTTCCATTATGTAAACAAAGATGAAGGTCTGGAAAAAATTAAAAACAGGCTTTTTTCCAAGTAGCATTAATTACTATTGTATTCATGGAATTTGTTAAACCTATGTGGGCCATTTGGCTCTGGACAGAAAGAATGAGACATGAATGGGGAAGAGGGGTGGTCAAGCACATGTGTGGCTTTTGTAGATTATTATAATAAAAAAAGAGAAGAAGAAAAACTTTATAAAACTGGGTTGCTTAAATGTGCGTGGATGTAGTGCGGATGACAAGAAACAGATGATTGCTGATGTTATGAATGAAAAGAAGTTGGATGTCCTGGCCCTAAGCGAAACAAAGCTGAAGGGGGTAGGAGAGTTTCAGTGGGGGGAAATAAATGGGATTAAATCTGGAGTATCTGAGAGAGTTAGAGCAAAGGAAGGGGTAGCAGTAATGTTAAATGATCAGTTATGGAAGGAGAAAAGAGAATATGAATGTGTAAATTCAAGAATTATGTGGATTAAAGTAAAGGTTGGATGCGAGAAGTGGGTCATAATAAGCGTGTATGCACCTGGAGAAGAGAGGAATGCAGAGGAGAGAGAGAGATTTTGGGAGATGTTAAGTGAATGTATAGGAGCCTTTGAACCAAGTGAGAGAGTAATTGTGGTAGGGGACTTGAATGCTAAAGTAGGAGAAACTTTTAGAGAGGGTGTGGTAGGTAAGTTTGGGGTGCCAGGTGTAAATGATAATGGGAGCCCTTTGATTGAACTTTGTATAGAAAGGGGTTTAGTTATAGGTAATACATATTTTAAGAAAAAGAGGATAAATAAGTATACACGATATGATGTAGGGCGAAATGACAGTAGTTTGTTGGATTATGTATTGGTAGATAAAAGACTGTTGAGTAGACTTCAGGATGTACATGTTTATAGAGGGGCCACAGATATATCAGATCACTTTCTAGTTGTAGCTATACTGAGAGTAAAAGGTAGATGGGATACAAGGAGAATAGAAGCATCAGGGAAGAGAGAGGTGAAGGTTTATAAACTAAAAGAGGAGGCAGTTAGGGTAAGATATAAACAGCTATTGGAGGATAGATGGGCTAATGAGAGCATAGGCAATGGGGTCGAAGAGGTATGGGGTAGGTTTAAAAATGTAGTGTTAGAGTGTTCAGCAGAAGTTTGTGGTTACAGGAAAGTGGGTGCAGGAGGGAAGAGGAGCGATTGGTGGAATGATGATGTAAAGAGAGTAGTAAGGGAGAAAAAGTTAGCATATGAGAAGTTTTTACAAAGTAGAAGTGATGCAAGGAGGGAAGAGTATATGGAGAAAAAGAGAGAAGTTAAGAGAGTGGTGAAGCAATGTAAAAAGAGAGCAAATGAGAGAGTGGGTGAGATGTTATCAACAAATTTTGTTGAAAATAAGAAAAAGTTTTGGAGTGAGATTAACAAGTTAAGAAAGCCTAGAGAACAAATGGATTTGTCAGTTAAAAATAGGAGAGGAGAGTTATTAAATGGAGAGTTAGAGGTATTGGGAAGATGGAAGGAATATTTTGAGGAATTGTTAAATGTTGATGAAGATAGGGAAGCTGTGATTTCGTGTATAGGGCAAGGAGGAATAACATCTTGTAGGAGTGAGGAAGAGCCAGTTGTGAGTGTGGGGGAAGTTCGTGAGGCAGTAGGTAAAATGAAAGGGGGTAAGGCAGCCGGGATTGATGGGATAAAGATAGAAATGTTAAAAGCAGGTGGGGATATAGTTTTGGAGTGGTTGGTGCAATTATTTAATAAATGTATGGAAGAGGGTAAGGTACCTAGGGATTGGCAGAGAGCATGCATAGTTCCTTTGTATAAAGGCAAAGGGGATAAAAGAGAGTGCAAAAATTATAGGGGGATAAGTCTGTTGAGTGTACCTGGTAAAGTGTATGGTAGAGTTATAATTGAAAGAATTAAGAGTAAGACGGAGAATAGGATAGCAGATGAACAAGGAGGCTTTAGGAAAGGTAGGGGGTGTGTGGACCAGGTGTTTACAGTGAAACATATAAGTGAACAGTATTTAGATAAGGCTAAAGAGGTCTTTGTGGCATTTATGGATTTGGAAAAGGCGTATGACAGGGTGGATAGGGGGGCAATGTGGCAGATGTTGCAAGTGTATGGTGTAGGAGGTAGGTTACTGAAAGCAGTGAAGAGTTTTTACGAGGATAGTGAGGCTCAAGTTAGAGTATGTAGGAAAGAGGGAAATTTTTTCCCAGTAAAAGTAGGCCTTAGACAAGGATGTGTGATGTCACCGTGGTTGTTTAATATATTTATAGATGGGGTTGTAAGAGAAGTAAATGCGAGGGTTTTGGCAAGAGGCGTGGAGTTAAAAGATAAAGAATCACACACAAAGTGGGAGTTGTCACAGCTGCTCTTTTGCTGATGACACTGTGCTCTTGGGAGATTCTGAAGAGAAGTTGCAGAGATTGGTGGATGAATTTGGTAGGGTGTGCAAAAGAAAGAAAATTAAAGGTGAATACAGGAAAGAGTAAGGTTATGAGGATAACAAAAAGATTAGGTGATGAAAGATTGAATATCAGATTGGAGGGAGAGAGTATGGAGGAGGTGAACGTATTCAGATATTTGGGAGTGGACGTGTCAGCGGATGGGTCTATGAAAGATGAGGTGAATCATAGAATTGATGAGGGAAAAAGAGTGAGTGGTGCACTTAGGAGTCTGTGGAAACAAAGAACTTTGTCCTTGGAGGCAAAGAGGGGAATGTATGAGAGTATAGTTTTACCAACGCTCTTATATGGGTGTGAAGCGTGGGTGATGAATGTTGCAGCGAGGAGAAGGCTGGAGGCAGTGGAGATGTCATGTCTGAGGGCAATGTGTGGTGTGAATATAATGCAGAGAATTCGTAGTTTGGAAGTTAGGAGGAGGTGCGGGATTACCAAAACTGTTGTCCAGAGGGCTGAGGAAGGGTTGTTGAGGTGGTTCGGACATGTAGAGAGAATGGAGCGAAACAGAATGACTTCAAGAGTGTATCAGTCTGTAGTGGAAGGAAGGCGGGGTAGGGGTCGGCCTAGGAAGGGTTGGAGGGAGGGGGTAAAGGAGGTTTTGTGTGCGAGGGGCTTGGACTTCCAGCAGGCATGCGTGAGCGTGTTTGATAGGAGTGAATGGAGACAAATGGTTTTTAATACTTGACGTGCTGTTGGAGTGTGAGCAAAGTAACATTTATGAAGGGATTCAGGGAAACCGGCAGGCCGGACTTGAGTCCTGGAGATGGGAAGTACAGTGCCTGCACTCTGAAGGAGGGGTGTTAATGTTGCAGTTTAAAAACTGTAGTGTAAAGCACCCTTCTGGCAAGACAGTGATGGAGTGAATGATGGTGAAAGTTTTTCTTTTTCGGGCCACCCTGCCTTGGTGGGAATCGGCCGGTGTGATAATAAAAAAAAAAAAAAAAAAAATATAATAAAAAAAAGAAGCACTAAACCTACAAGTCATACAGCACTACCAGGCAGAGAAGGATGCAGGGATATTGGGTAGCAAGAGGGAGAGGGATGATTATTAGGTCATGGAGTGCAGCTGGGCAGTGGACAGTGCAGGGGTAGAGGGTAGGAAGAGATTGAGGTAGAAAGGGCTGTGAGTAGTACTAGAGGCATCATCAGCAGAGTTTGTGCAGTAAATCAGTTGCTGTCAAAAAGTCAATAAGAGAGTCTGGGTCCATCAGCAAGAAGGGAAGGTAAAGTAAGGGCAGTAGAGCAGTGACAACGAGAGAGGTAAATTCTGCGTGCTCGTTGATAGAGTGGGCAGTCTAACAGAATGTAGCAAACAGAAACTGGAACCTGACAATACTCAGAGTGGAACAGGGTGCCTCTCCATGAGATACCTGTGAGTAAGACAAGTGTGGCAGATACGAAGATGAGAGAGAGTAGCCTCCCAACCTCGACACTGATGAGAAGACGGCCAAAAACCTATACTCGGTTTAATAGAATGTAGTTTATCATGGAGCAGATCAGACCAACGTTGTTGCCGAGTGCGAAGGTGGATAGCAATTACAGCAAAATGGTCAGTGAATGGAACACCTCTTTATGAAACTGGGAGGTCATGTACTGCTGACCGCGCAGCAGTGCCTGCCTGTTCATTGCCCTGTAAGTCAACATGACCAGGGACCCAACAAAAAACAATATCTTTGTGCTTGCAGCGTAACCAAAGTTGGATACGAAGAACTAGGGGATGAGGTGTATCAAATTTTCGTATAGCCTGTAAAGCACTAAAGGAGTCTGAAACAACCACAAATGGTGACACAGGCATAGATGCAATGTGGATAAGTGCTACGAGAATGGCATACAATTCAGCCATAAAAATGCTAGACGGGGATAATAAATGCCCTCGCACGACGCTGTCCGGAAACACTGCTGCGAATCTGACGTCGTCAGAAGACTTAGAACCATCGGTGTACATGGCTTCTGTAGAAATGCCACACATGCACCAAGTTTATGTAGACAATGATGGATAGCATGTTGGAAGAATGGTTAGAGGTGAATGTACCAGTAGTAGGCTTCCTCCTGCCATCTCTATGCTAAAACCCTTATCACTTCTTTGAAGATTTCTTACATGATTTCATTATTAATGTGATTAATGACTTGATGGAAAAATGGCCTTATATTTATGACCTAGTATTCTTGGAGTAAAATCAACACCAGTAAGAATATTTCTGAAAATGCACTAGACATATTTACTGAACCTCAAACTATTCTGGTGAATAACTGCTTTACCAAAGACAGTGCTTAATTTTCTCAGTAGTTATTGAACTTAATACTGTATTAATGTCATTTAAGCAATATTTAACCCTTTGACTGTTTCGGTCGTATATATATGTCTTACGAGCCACCATTTTTGACGTATATACGTATACATGTACTCATAAATTCTAGCGGCTTCAAATCAAGCAGGAGAAAGCTGGTAGGCCCACATGTGAGAGAATGAGTGTGTGTGGTCAGTGTGCACCATATAAAAAAATCCTGGAGCACGCAGTACATGAGAAAAAAAAACTCCGACCGTTTTTTTTAATTAAAATGCCAACTTTGTGGTCTATTTTCGTATCGTATTTATGGTTGTATTCTTGCTTTCTTGGTCTCATTTGATAGAATGGGAAACATATTATAGAAATAGAGGTGATTTTGATTGCTTTTACTATAAAAAGAACCTGGAAATGGAGCTCAAAGTAGGGGAAATGTTTGATTTTTGCCGATGTTCAAAAGTAAACAAATGTCATTGTCCAATAAATGTCCAACTACCCATTCTAATATGCAGTCATGAATGGGTTGACATTATTTGTACAATTATTACAGTATTGCAGTAATCTGCATAACAGTAAATCTTCTATATTTTGTTTGAATAAAAATTAAAAATAGAAAGCAAGAGTAATGTCAGAGGGGCCTGGAGACATGACTGATGAACAAAGAAAATGTTATTTTAGAGCCAGGAATGTCTGCATTGTTCATTCTGGACCTTATTTTGAAATTGTCATATTTTTTAATTTTCGTGAAATTGGCCAAATTGCAAATTTCTGACCACATTATTGGGTAGTTGAAATCGGTAAATGGGCAGTTTCTTGAACTCAGTCGATAGAAAAAATGGAGTTCTAAAGAAATAGCTATGAGTTTGGTCGACTGGAACAATGGAATTAACCGAAAATAGGGCTCAAAGTGGGCGAAATTGCCGATTTGTAAATATTGCCGAGGTCACTAACTTCACGAGAGCGTAATTCCTTCGGTTTTCCATCAAATTTCGTTTTTGTGGTGTCATTACAATTGGGAAAAGATTCTCTATCATTTCATAAGAAAAAAATATTTTTTTTTTTTTAAATTTTGCGACACCAGGAGACACCTCAGGATTGGGGGTTGCAACAGTCAAGGGGTTAATCAAATATGGCCATAACATTCCCTGAGGATCTTGCAGTTTTTGCACAAAGTCAGTCATATATATTTTTTAATTATACTCATGGATTTACCAAACCCTATACCATTTTAAGATTCACTAATGAATTTCAGTATGAACACTATTAATATGATACTGTACAATATATAAGTAAATACACCCACATGAACTTTTAGTTTGGCACTTTCTAAGCAAAATTAAAACAAGCCATATTGGGTTACAATTCAACTTTAAAATCATTAGGACAATACCAGATTTAATATAGAAATGTTTAACATAAACCTAAATTAGGCTCAGCAACAGAGGCAGGATTCACAAACTGGGGAGTCACTATCTTGTTTCAATTATAGTTCTTACCTGATGCATTTTATCCTCTAATAATACTGAAGGCAGAAACTAAAAACTGCATACAGCCTTTATAAAATAACACTTACCTAGTGCTAGTTTGGCTGCCACATATTTGCTCATTCCAGAAGCTCACGGATACCCACCAGACCCAGGCAGCCTGAGGCGTTGCTATAATTTGTCATTAAGTGAGTCATTAACATAGTGCTGTCTTCCCCAATATAATCATTGTCATAAATCAAAATTAAACAGATAAATAGCTGTAGTCCTTTCAGGAAGAAAAATATACTTTGTTATCAGAAGATTGAAGAGGCTCTAATGTAATCATAGATTTTTTCATAACACCTTCGTAAGAGAAGTGCAAAGGATAATGTGTCAAGGGACACAAAATTGTAATGAAGAACAGACTCACTCATCACCATCTTTGCAAGTTGGCTTTGCAGTAAAAATAGTGATCATATTCATGGTTAGCACTTCCTTTTGATTATAATAATAATAATAATAATAATATTCATTATAGGTAGTAGGTTGGTAGACAGCAACCGCCCAGGGAGGTACTACCGTCCTGCCAAGTGAGTGTAAAACGAAAGCCTGTAATTGTTTTACATGATGGTAGGATTGCTGGTGTCCTTTTTTCTGTCTCATGAACATGCAAGATTTCAGGTACGTCTTGCTACTTCTACTTACACTTAGGTCACACTACACATACATGTACAAGCACATATATACACACCCCTCTGGGTTTTCTTCTATTTTCTTTCTGGTTCTTATTCTTGTTTATTTCCTCTTATCTCCATGGGGAAGTGGAACAGAATTCTTCCTCCGTAAGCCATGCGTGTTGTAAGAGGCGACTAAAATGCCGGGAGCAAGGGGCTAGTAACCTCTTCTCCTGTATATATTACTAAATGTAAAAGGAGAAACTTTCGTTTTTCCTTTTGGGCCACCCCGCCTTGGTGGGATACAGCCGGTGTGTTGAAAGAAGAAGAATAATATTCATGGTGAAGCACTAAACCCATTAGGATCATACACCTCCTTTGAGGGTAGCAAACAACTTGACCATTTTATACTGTTCAAGGTGCTGCCTTGATACTGCTTGATGAACAGAATTTGAGCTACCCTTCCCTTCCTTGAAACAAACTTTATTCTCTCATTCCCCATGCACTGTATGACCCCTCACATGTTTAAAACTTCCCTTCGATCACAGTAATTCACAAATCTACTTTTAAAAATTTTCGTCAGACTTGGTTTATCTCACATCTTTACTGCTCCTAGTTAACTAGTAAAGTCTTTTTTTAAACCATCTCTGTTGTAACTCTTAACACATGCAGTGATTACAATGACAACATTCTGCGTGTTCATGTTTATCAATACTGACACCTATGTGAAAACACTGTTGACACTAAAAATGTAAGTGGTAAACATTTCTTGTTTCTCAAACATTTGTTTATTGACAATTAGTGGAAATATTGTTTGAGAACCTACAATTAGGGAATAGTCTTGCCTATATCCTGATATGAAGAGAAATGGTACAAAATACTGACAACAAAAACCAATGCAGTAGAATGTGATCCTTTATGGACAATATTTCGTCCATGGAACCACCAACGGGCAAAACCTCGTCAATATCAGTTTCCAACAAAATGTATTGAACTCAAGATTTGAAATATGGTCTTTTTTCATTAACTCATCAAGAGTAATAATGAATTATAAAACTACTATTAATTACTTAGCAGAAATGGTATGCTACTCTGAAAAAAAAAAAACTGTTAATAACTTCAGTGATACAGTATTTCCTGATATGCAAAGCCCATGAGGGTTATTTAGGTCAGTCTATTACCTGTTGCTTGGTCTATGAACAGGTAGTTAGTTATTGCTAATTCAGTTATAGAAGAACTGTGCACAGGCACTTTTTTAGAGTGCATAACTGCAATAGGATTAAAGGTAAACAATACAAATAAACAGAGTATAAGAATTACATTGTAAAACTATGCTTAAAGTGCAAAAACATTTCTCCTTTCATAAATTTGTATGTGTAAAGTAGGTAAATGCTTGGAATATTGCTATTAGGGTCTGTGGTATTTTGAAGTAGAGGACATAAGGAAGGATTGGTATGCATCACCTTTCCTTTACCTTCCATAACCACAGACACAATACAGTCTTGACATTAAATTAAGAAAGTCAACAATAAGTTTTTGCTAAATGAAACTATTATATGCCTCAAAAACAAGGTGTCTCAACGAACATGACATTGAGAGTGGAGTGGCTTGTGCATAAACCACTTTACTGCTAAGTAGATTTAAAAGAAAGAACTGATAAATAAAATTAATTTTAGCCTATTTTCAGAGAGGTGCACAGGATAATGAAGACCCTGTAAGCAGGTTACATATAAAGATTCTAAGCAAATGAACATGTAATATTTTTGCCTTACAATTTTTAAGCTGCTCATTTTAAAGCTTACAAAGTTGGTCTACCTCTAGAATGGTCAACTAGTAACATTTAAAATGATGGTTTACCACAAACTCCCATTAAATACTGCTATAACCCCCCCCCCTTGCCCCACTCTTTTACTGACTGGATGAAAACATGTACAGGCATACAGTGTATACAAGTCTTTTCAAATCCTGAGGAAGTTCAAAATTCCCTGTTTTATTTTAAAGACAAAATATATAAAAAACATTTTAAAAAAAGTTTTTATCACTTGCATATAAACACATTTTTCAAGGCATTCCACTCTAAGGAATACAAGTACAAATTCTCAAGTGATGATGTATATGTACATATGATGAAGACTAGTTTTACAGTGGTGACTGGGGCAACAAGCCGACAAGTAGGAATAAAGCCACAATACATTCAGGTCTTTATTTAAAACATTTTGCTCAGGAATGAGCATTACCAAGTCCTGAGTAAGCTCAATCCTTGGTCAGGACTGACCTTGATAAATTACTCACAAAATCAAAATAACACAATTCCAAACAAACCACAGAATGGCCAAGATTTGAGCCAATGGCAAGCGAGTCCTGAAGTTTTAGGACTCACTCTCCATGGCCTCAATCTCACCCATTCCAAGGCTGGTTTTTTTGAGCTTAATAAAGCATAATCCCAAGTTCAACATTTAAAGTAAAAGCTTGATTTGCAATGCGAGTCTTTATGCCTACGGTAATTTTATAATGTATGTGAATCATTCAAAAATGTATGTCCATGGCCTTGTTTAAATACTATGGGAAAGACTTCAGGTTATGTACAAATCATCTGACTCATGCTAATACTCTGTCAACCAAGATGTTGTTGACATCCTGATGATCATGTGAATCATATTTTAGTCTTAATGATGAAAGTAAAACCAATGTTTGTTTTAAAAGAGTAATGGTAGTTTATGCCAATAACAAAACTTCGAATTATCATGAGCTTATCAAAAACAAGTAAAATATGCAGTTGATATTCACTATAGATGTTAAAATAACACTCTTATAACACACAAAATTCCTAACCACTATTTTCCAAACGTGGTACTGTATTTAGAGCAAACAAGAACCCACATCATTTATTAGCTGAATATAAAGCCTCTCAATACACACAACACACCCCACTAGAAATGCACAATCTATCATCCAAACTTATCTGAAGTCTCTTCTTGCAGTAAAGAGAAATATTAAAAGAGCTTAACAAGGGCAAATGAGTGCCCTGAGCCAGCTCCTATAATTTGTAGGTTTCCTGGAAGCGAAACCCTTGATGGGCGATGAACGTTGGTTGTGGTGCCATCCCCACAGTTCCCATGTTCATTCCATCCCCACGTGTAGAGTGAAGTGCTTTCACCAGCACTACCAGTTATTGCAAGATTATGCTCTGATCCACATGCCACACCTCGTATACTGTGGTTGAGGTTCAAGCAGTTTGGAATATATCTGCAACAGAAAGTAACCTTGCTTAAAAAAAAAATAGATAAAATGTTCCTTTACAGTAGCAAGATACAGTCCCAAACAGTTTGTGACTTGGTAATGCATAACCTAATAATTATCAGTGATCCTAGGCACCTCTCCATGATACAGTGTATAAGTTAAGCATCCGATATGCAGTTGCTCAGGCATCCTCTCTCACAACCAATAGTGATGAAAAGGGGATAGCCAAAGCTCAGTTGTGGTTTGAATAAAAATAGCTTGTGTGCTACTTTGATCACTGGCAATTCCAGCAAATAACAAATTTCCATAGTCATGAATTTAAACAATAACATCACAGTTTTCAGGCTTTCTTGCTCGTGTTGACTATTCCTCCTGCACCAGTGTCCAGCAGTAGTCAGATTTCCCTGATATCTATTCTCCATGATGACTATGTCTTGGTGAAATATTTCACAGTGGGTTCTATTTCACTGCAAGTGTTGGGGCAAAACTAAATTCAGATTTGTATTCAGCGTACCAAAATTAGTTAAAAAGCATATTTTAAAATGTGAACTGGAGCCTCTGTTGGCCAATGCTATGCATGTGTCTGAGTCTGTTTTTATAACTAAAATTTTATTAAAGCCAGTAATTAAAATATTTCACAACCCTTAGGAATGCAAGAGTTACCTGCAACGCTTTCTAAGAACTTCACTTGCTGCAGTATCTGAGCTGGAATCATCTTTCTCATCTTCTGAAGGTCCAAGTTGACCATAATCTGCTCTGCCCCAAACATAGACAGCACCAGATGTCACACCCACTACACAGTGTGTCCAGCCAGCTCGCAGCCATGTTACACGTTCACCACCAAAGTAGTTATGTGGGATTGTCAAGGGACAAGTGAAGTAGGCCACATTCCTGTTAATTTGTGAAAGCTGTACAGTACAAATAGCAGTGACATTACAACTTAAAAATTATATGGCTAAAACTCCTGCATAACACAATTATAGCTCCTACTTAAAGACCCTTTTATTATGACATTTTGATCAATTTTAAAGGAAGCTATGTCAGTCTGAGTAAAAAGGTACATACACAAAAATTATGAATGCAGTTTATAAAACTACCACAGGCTACATGGCAGCAATATTAAACGGCAGTCTCCCGTCAAGACAAGGTGAACCAAAGAAGAAAACGCATGCACCATCATTCATTCAAATGCCATATTTCAAGAAGTGTATTGACATCACATTTAGACTACCCTCCAATTACAACATCTTCACCCCTTTTCAGAGTGTAACCACTGCCCTTCTGACCTTCAGAACTCTTGTCTGGCTGCTTCCCTGAATCCCTTAATAAAAGTTACTTCACTCACATTCCAACAGCACATCCATTAACGAAAACTATTCTACGACAGCAAATACATATCAAAGAACTTTTGATTAGCAATTATTTAAGATGTACTATAACCCTGCCAACCCCAAATGCAATTAAAAACATAGGAAGTATCCAAAATTTCAACAACAGGGTTGCAGAAACCTAAAAACAAATTTTTATCATACCAGTAATGAAATGAATTCAGAGAGCTTTTAAAACAGTCTATAGAAAAAAAAAATGATCACACTGCCTTTAACTGACTCCTGCCTCACTGACTTGTGGGGTGATGCTGAATGTGGGGCACATTTTAACTGTGTGCCCATGGCATGCTAGATAGAAGTCCATGAGAATGCTAAATAGGAGTGAGTGGAGACGAGTGTTTTTTATGATGACTTGCTGTTGGAGTGTTATCAACATAACATTTATGAAGGGATTTAGGAAAACAAGTTAGCTGGACTTGGGTTATGGAGATGGGAAGGGTGGGGTATTTGCAGTTTTGAACTGTAGTATTGGTGCCCCTCTGGCAAGACAGTGATGGTGAAAGTATTTCTTCTTTTTTGGGCCACCCTACCTCAGTGGGAAACAGCTAAACGTTAAAAAAATGGCTTCTGCTTTTTCACCTTAAGTCTTGGTGCTTTAATTATAATTGCATTTACCCTCAACCTAGAGAAAGTAGTCTCAGCCAATGATTATTGTTGAGAGACATCCATCTTGCAGAGCTCATCTAACTTGATGCTTGTCTGTAGTGCACACGGGGTTCATCACTTCCCAAAGATGCATCAATGTATGTGCGTCTAAGTCTCTGAGACAGAAGACTGCTTTAGAATGAGCTCAAGAAAGAAACTCATCTCCGTGTAGCTTCCTTCCATATTCTGGATCCTGGTATGTCTCATTCACCAACATATCAGTTCAATTTACAAGCTGTTTACATCTGGTTTATCTAATTTGTTTTTGTGGAGTACTGTACTTTCTTTTTCAATTTTTTGGTTTACAAGTCATTTTCAATTTTTTGGTTTACAAGTCATTTTCAATACACGTACACGAGTTTGATGTGGGTGCTATTGGTTTTTACTTATGTTTCCACTGTGTGGCCTTCACCAGCCTGACTGGTCAGAGTTAGCCTCAATTAGTGAATGAAGGGCAGAACCTCCACCATGCCCGGTGCTGAATAACCCAATCAGGTTGATCACTTTATGAAATACATTTCGTTTTAGCATTTCTTAAGAGATTTTACACTTACTGGTAATACTACTACAAAAACCACCGAGTGAGACAAGGAAATAAGACTAGTCCAGATGGCCAGTACCTGATGAGCCGAGCTGTGGTTTGTATGTCGCTTTGCGTTCAGCCAACAGTAACAGCCTGGTTGATCAGGCTCTGATTCACCATGTGGCCTGATCACAGACTGAGCCAAGGAGGCAGTGATCCCTAAAACCCTCTCCAGGTATATCACATGTGGAAAAAACAGCAAAAACAATAGAGCTTGAATGTTATGCAAATGCCAATCTATGTTTTTAAAAAAAGATAATATAAAGATCCTCACCTTGGGTCATGTGCAAGTTGCCCCCATTTGTTATCTCCCCAGGCTAAAACATGGCCCTCAACAGTGAGAGCATATGTTGTGCTCTGTCCACACACAACACTTAGAACCTACAGGAAGAATGAAGATGAAATTTGTTAAAATTTTTGAAAAAGGTATCTTTCAAGATTTGCCTGGCAAATACTGCAAGTGTCATTTAGCTTTACCACTCTGCAAAATGCTTATGTCCATCCGCCAAATTAGAAGTATCGTGTGGACATTCAAAGGTATTGAGAATGACTTAAAGGAGAAAAAAAAAAGGACACGAGTAAAATACACACACTTGAGTTGTAGCCACACATTATGGAAACACAAAGTAAGATTATAAACAGGATGGATACCATGATGGTATATGGGGAATCGAGGATGGATTATGTTAGGAGACCTTAAATCTTTTTTAATATGTCCATTTCCTTGGTGGGAAGTTTCCCGGGAGTAACAAATTATTAGATATACCTGTAGTTATTCTCCATGGGGAAGTGGAACAGAATTCTTCCTCCGTAAGCCATGTGTGTCGTAAGAGGCAACTAAAATGCTGGGAGCAAGGGGCTAGTAACCCCTTCTCCTGTATATATTACTAAATTTAAAAGGAGAAACTTTTGTTTTTCCTTTTGGGCCACCCCACCTCGGTGGGATACGGCTGGTGCGTTGAAAGAAGAAGACCTGTAGTTATATAGTTACTACTCATTTTGCACATGGACAACACAATGCTAATATTTCAAATTCACAAATTATCTACTTATCACTGTCAATACACAGTATTAACACTTGAAATAGATCAAAATGTGCAAAAATTTCAATTTAATTCTTTAATCAAAATCATGGATAACATTAATTTAACTCACTGACCATAAGGTTCATACAGCCCATAACTGAGAATACCAGTACTAGACTCTTACACCAATGAAAGATCTTTATTATAATTCTTCCATTATGTATTGCTTTCAAGTGTTAGTTGATACAGACTTACCTTTCCCTCGATGTGATCCACAATTCTTGGGGTTGGTTGTAACTTAACTAATTGTCCTTCACTGTCTATGTGTCCAAGTTGTCCACGATGACCATGGCCCCAGGTATAAACTCTTCCATCCCGTGTTGCAACAGCAGTATGACGCAATCCAGCAGAAACACTCACCACATTCGTCAGATCCAAGCAGATAGGAAGGCTTGTGAAAGGCACCTACAGCAAAATTTACTATTATACATTTTATTACAAAATTTAAAAAAAAAATGCAATATTAAAAGGCATCCCCAAATGTAAAAGGCATAATTAATACACCAACATGGATAAGACAGAAGAGTGCCTCAGTATTTTATATTATTATTTATTAACAAACTGGCCGTCTCCCACAAAGGCAGAGTGGTCCAAAAAAGAAAAACTTTCATAATCATTCACTCCATCAGAGGCTCACTTACACTACAGTTATAAAACTGCAACATTAACACCCCTCCTTCAGAATGCAGGCACTGTACTTCCCATCTCCAGGACTCAAATCCGGCCTGCCAGTTTCCCTGAATCCCTTCATAAATGATACCTTGCTCACACTCCAACAGAACGTCAAGTCCTAAAAACCACTTGTCTCCATTTGCTCCTATCTAACATGCTCTCACATGCTTGCTGGAAGTCCAGGCCCCTTGCATACAAAACCATACCCCCCTCTCTCCAACCTTTCCTAGGCCGACCCCTACCCGGCCTTCCCTCCACTACAGATTTATACACTCTCAAAATCGTTCTATTTTGTTCCATCCTCTCTACATGTCCGAACCACCTCAACAACCCCTCCTCAGCCATCTGGATAATAGTTTTGGTAATCCCACACCTTCTTCTAATTTCCAAACTATGAATTCTCTGCATTATATTCATACCACACATTGCCCTCAGATGTGACATCTCCACTGCCTCCAGGCTTCTCCTTTTTGCAGCATTCACCACCCATGCTTCACACCCATATAAGAGCATTGAGGGCCTCAGTGTGAGGCCAAAATAAAAGAGTACTCATCCTGTGTTTTGTTTTATCTTCAGGCAAGTTTTTTTTTTATGCCATTAAAGGGTATGAATACATATTTTATTAAAATTTATACAGGAATTATCAATCTCACCTCATCCTTCGGAAGCCCCAGCTGGCCATGACTGTTTGACCCCCAAACCCAGACTTGTCCGGATTGGCTAAGGGCAATAGAGTGAGCCCATCCACATGCAGCACCAATCATATGATGGCCCTCCAACCCCCTTATAAGTTGGAAACCTGACACAGCACGCACTTGAGTTCCATCACCAACCTGTTTATAGGCAAGATTAGACAATTATGTATAAAATTTAACAGATACAGCAGAATTATATAAATATAATGAGACTCCACACATAGCACAAGAATCACCTATTTTCATTTAGTTAAATTAGTATACACTAATTTGCTAACTAGATATAGTTCCATTACATTAAGGTGATCAATAAAGGTATCCTTAGTCTCCTAGTCTAGTGCGCTCTACATTGCAATATTTTGAGTGTCTTGAATAACTGCAACCATCACATCTTCTCAACCCTAATCATTCCTTGGCAGTAATAATGTTGGTGCATAAGTGTTTTAAGCTTCACAATGTGTAGAGGCATTAAAGTTTTTGCCTAGATACTTGGGAGAAGAAACAAATAAAAAAATATTTACAATAACTATATAAGTCAGGAAAAATCCTAGAATGGAATTCAATACTGTTCACAAATCTAACAAAAAAAAAAAAAGAGCATTGTGTATCGCTCTAAGATTTCCTACTATATACCCAAATTGTCACTACTCACATTATACTAAATTAATATAATCATATTTCACCTACGATGTATGTGCTCGAGGGTTTATAAGAAAGCTTTCTAAAACAAATAACACAACGAGCTGCCATAAAAATCAGCTCGCACTCAGGATCCAAACATATTTTTTTTTTATAATCATAACTAAGCGCTAAACCCTTTAGGGTCACACAGCACTGTCCAAACAGAAAAACCTATATAACATAACCATTCGTGTATTCTACTATATTTACTCAACATTCAGGGGGACAGTGAATACAAATGCTGACCTAGACCTAAAGCTCTTCTTGGAGAGCTCTTTTCAGTCAGCTTGAAACATGAAAGATTTACACCATATGCCTGGGCAGAGAAGCATCTACTAGAAGCTTGTTATTTTTCAAATAAAGAATGTACAGTACCTGTCCACTGGTATTCCATCCAGCACCAAAAAGTCTACCCTGAGCAGTGAGTAGGAAGGTGTGACCTCCTCCTCCAACAGCAGTACGTATACAAGGCTCACTTATGTTGTCAGGGAGGTCCTCTACACGTGTAGGCATAGTCACCTGTATGTTACAATGCATATTAATTAATAAAACACACTAAATTTAAATTTTGATTTCTTTGCATAATATACAATATGTGATTTATATGTAATAAAATATCATTAAGTACAAAGAAAGCCTATACATGTGTACAATATTTGAATACACATAATCAGGAGTGTCTTAAAACAAATACAAGTGATTCAAAATCATACATGACATTTTATAGATGGAACATGCTTGTGAAAAGAAATTATTAGTGAATCGAGCAAGCACGAGGAAATATTAATTTCATAGGGAAAGCACTAAAATCGTAGGGGTTATATAGGAATACGAAGCAGTCAGCTTTGATCCAAGAAAAGGTAAGTCCAATTCTATGAATCAAGAGCCTTTCAATGGCAATAAGGCACATCACCTGAAGGGAAAGATGAAAGAAACCAAGAATGAGACAAAAATGAAAGCAAGAAAATATAGACGTATGTATTGGCCAGATTAATACGTAATAATAATAATATCTATTTCTACAAGTACATGTACAAGGTACTGTACAGGTCTAGCTATATAGCATTTCAGGCAAATTAGGTCAATTTTGTCCCAGGATGCGACCCACACCAATCGATTAATGCATAAGTACCCATTTTACCGATGGGCGAACAGAGACAGGTGTCTTACAGAAACACATCCTAATGTTTTCCAGCCATACCAGGAATCGATCCCTGGACCTCAGCATGTGAGCTGAGAGTGCTAGTGATTGAGCTACAGAACAGAATGGGTATAAGTATAAAGTGTAATGTTGCAAAGGCATGCATGCATGAAAAGGCTTTAGCCATTATCACGCTTCTGTATTAAAGAAGACAGGGTACACCAATGAATTCATATAAAGTCCAATGTTTATTAATAAGTAGGAAGAATTGTGGTGAACAATGATGAATGCACTCAGAAACCAAAACAATAATGTTTCAATTTATTCATTAATATTTAGAGTTGTAAAATCAAATTACAGTAAATGAAGGTACTGGGACAGTGATCCCAGAAATAAATTTATGCACTGTACTGTATACAGCACAGTATTTATTAAAATAAACAAAAGCAAATTCATGTACTCTACTGTACATTTAAAATAATTTTCCTATATAGTATAATAGTACCAAGTACAGTGGACCCCCGGTATTCGATGACATCGGTATCCGATAAATCCGGTATTCGATACATTTTAACGCAAAAATTTTGCCTCGCTTCTCATTAAAAAACCCGCCACACGCGATTCGTCCGAGACGTGTCCACGTGTGTGCCAGTGTTTACAAGCCAGCCAGTGTGCTCGCATCTAAGGATACATTCGGTACATTCCATATTATCACAGTGTTTTCGGTGCTTGTTTCTGCAAAATAAGTCACCATGGGCCCCAAGAAAGCTTCTAGTGCCAACCCTGTGGTAAAAAGGGTGAGACTTAGTATGGAAATTAAGAAAGATTTTGAAGGGTTTGGGGCTAACCCTGAGAAGCCTATGCCAGTTGTGGAATCCATTGTGCCTACTTCAAAAATTAAGGAAATGTGTGTGCAAAGTGTGTTGAACTGCAAACTTTTATGGATGAAAATCATCCTAACACAGTTATTGCAAGCCATGCTGGTGATATTACAATGACAATGTTGTGGCCCATTTTAGACAAATCGTAAAGGAACAGGAGGTACAGAGCTCTATGGACAGATTTGTTGTGCGACAGAGGTCCAGTGACTCAAGCTGGTCCTAGTGGCATTAAAAGAAGAAGGGAAGTAACCCCGGAAAAGGACTTGCTACCTCAAGTCCTAATGGAAGGGGATTCCCCTTCTAAACAATAAGTCCGACACTCTCCCCTCCTCCCATCCCATCAATCATCACCAGATCTTCATTAAAGGTAAGTGTCATGTATTCTATTGTTAATAGAGTACTACTAACTGTGCATGTCTTCTTCAGTTTGTGTGCATTAAACTTAATATTTCATGTGGTAAAAAAAAAAATTTCATACTTTTGGGTGTCTTGCACGGATTAATTTGATTTCCATTATTTCTTATGGGGAAAATTAATTCGCCTTTCGATAATTTTGGTATACGATGAGCTCTCAGGAACGGATTAATATCGAATACCGGGGGTCCACTGTAATTATGTTTTACGTCACTTTAATGATAAATATGGAAAATCAAATAAAACATTTTTACAAACCTGCTCACTGACAAAGCCCAGGCCAAGCTGCCCGTGGCTATTTGCTCCCCAGGCATATAAGGCTGTCATTTTCAAGTATCACACTTCATCTATGAAGGAACAGACATTCACATATGAAAATAGGAAAGAAAAAAATAAATTCTAGCAAACAAAATAAAAAATTAGGTAAATGTAATCCTCTTGCTTTAATATTCACATCAATTAAAAACATTTAACTTATAAACATATTGATAAATTATATTATCCCCAATATTCTCAAATTCAACGTAGATACAGTAACTAGATAAAACTGATAATGTAAGTCATACAATAAGAATGATAAAAGCCCTTGGAGAATAGTATAGCTGACAAGTGGTTAAAAAGACAAATAGCATTATCGCATTTCATTTACAGGAGACTTTATAAAGCCTTGTGTACATGAAACAACATGATAAAAGGTCTTTTAAACCAGCTTGCAATGTCAATAAGCAACCTGGCAGGCATTATGGTTTCAAAAATACAGAATGCCCCATTCTAACCTTAAGCACAATGATGGTATACCTAGCATATTTAAGATGCATACTCTAATTACATCATTTAACCAGATTTAACTGAAAATAATTTTCATTTACAAAGCAGTAAGAGTTAATGACAGGTAGATCAATAGATCAGCTAGCCTGAGTCAGGAATGCATGTATCTACAAAAAAGCCTAAAGACTGACATTTCCTAGCACTGCCAGCTCTTTTTTTTATTTGAACTCGGAACTTCCATTTCTAAAACAGCATTCATTTTTTAATTACTAGTCGAAGCTATTGTTAAAAAAATGCATTACCATAATGTAACCCTAACAATTTATTATGCTGAACAAGTCTTTCTTCCTGTCCCTGCTCTTGTCTAGCATTCCTTCAACTTGTGTACCTAGCTTCATCCTTAATATATATCACTAATTAGAATTTCTTTTACTGAATTACTAAATACCTCCAATATAATAAAAGCTAGGTGTATTCTTATTATCATGCACTAGTAATCATAAGTTTCTCTCAAGGCTGCCTGAAATCATATGCCTTGTATAACAAGGGGCTTTCTTAAGTTGGAAAAATTCAGATTCAGGAGGGATATAGGAAAGTACTGGTTTGGTAATAGAGTTGTGGATGAGTGGAACAAACTCCCAAGTACCGTTATAGAGGCCAGAACGTTGTGTAGCTTTAAAAATAGGTTGGATAAATACATGAGTAGATGTGGGTGGGTGTGAGTTGGACCTGATAGCTTGTGCTAACAGGTCGGTTGCCGTGTTCCTCCCTTAAGTCAATGTGACCTGACCTGACTAGGTTGGGTGCATTGGCTTAAGCCGGTAGGGACTTGGACCTGCCTCGCATGGGCCAGTAGGCCTTCTGCAGTGTTCCTTCGTTCTTATGTTCTTCTTATGTTCTTATAATGTAGTTTATACATGTCAATTACCCTAATTTTATAATAGTATACTGTACTCGACTTTACACAAATAAAGTTCGTTTGTTCTATTAGTTCATTTGTTTGATTGTTCTAAAAGCTCATGTAAGTTTTCAATTCTTGAAGGTCACTGTCTGACTTGTTTGGGTTATCCTAGGTAATTTGCACTATGTATGATAATTGTACTTGTGTACCTGTACCTAAATGAACTTACTTGCTTAAGTATAAACAGTATATACTAGGAAAGATAGGTAATAAGAACATTAAAGTCAAAAGCTTTTAAAAGTCCGATACATATACGTACTGCAGCGAGTTTTCTTATTTTAATCCTAAATTTTTGTACGACTGTTAGTTATGCAATAGTTTCTAGAGCCCATACATAAACTTAAAGTCAGTCAGAAAACACATTACAGCTTACAGATGCATGCTAATGACTCGACTGACAGCAGCCTCAGTTTACAACTGGGGGATTGGTATTTAATCCCCAGACAAATGGAAAAAATGGGCATGTTTCGTTACACCTGCCACCCTTTTCCTATTCACCTAGGAGTCAGTAGGTACCTAAGTGTTAGTGGCTGTTGTGGAGTGGCATCATGAAATTTTACCATTACAAATCTGCCAGACAATCAGATGAATATGACTTTGTTGAGATATCTTTGGCTACTAACTCTATGAGTTAATAATCCAAATAAAATCAACATGATGGATTTGCAAACATGCATCATCCTTTACTGTAATTATACCCTAACCTAATTTGACCTATAACTGTCTCAAGGAAAGCGAGGGTCTTTTATATGCTATAATAGTGACTTAACTCCATCTCCAAAGAAGAGACCCATGGTTCTCCTACCTTAAAGTAGGTCAGCACCTTCAGGTCTCCGTAATACCCTCTCTCCCAGTCACCCCTCTGTGCATATCCCAATAATCTTGCTAAAAATACACACTCATCATAGAGAACTGAACCTCAAAATACTTAAGCATGTGCCATGAGAAATGATCCCTACCTCCTTTATCCCTCCTTCCCATCCTATTTAAATAGTTATCAAATCTACCTCCTTGAATTCCATATCACAAGTCATCATGAAAGCACTCTGATAAAGTAGTCATATATTGCATCTGTTTTGCATTCTAACCAATATAACCTTGCCTAATTTATGCAAAACTTACAATTACATGCTCTTAAATGGATACTGAACCTTAGCTTGCTGAGGAATTAGCATAAATTTCTAGCCTCAAAACTTCAATTAAATATTCATTAAAGACACTTTAAACAAACAAGGATTATTTTGTGCTGAACAGCACTGTTAAAGATAATAAAACTAGCAGATACATAAACTTCACAAAGGGTAATGGGGGTGTGGGGTGGAACAAGATTGTACAGTAATTGAGTATGAAAATCTAAGCTATAATAAAGATATCAGAAAACATGTGAAAGCATCCACAGTAGGTTTATTCAGGTACAGGTACGCAAATACAGTCACTACATAGCAGCATATGTGTAGATTATGTAGGATAACCCAAAAAAGTCAGACCCAAAAGACAGAAAGTGACTTATCTCCATTAGGATCCTTGATTTGGTACTGTGCTTAGATTATATTCAGGGGGAAGCACTAAATCAATAAATGATGCAGTACATATAGAACGCATCACTTAAAAGAGGACGACCAACTGCAAATATTTTTACAAATTTCTCAAAATTACGCTGAAATTATTTTTCTGATGCTGCCTCCAGTGAGGATATAGTGCTTGGCATTCTTCTCATAGCAGTGGTTCATGGTCAATGGGAGGTGCACTATATAAAGGTCTGTTAGTATTATCAGAGAGCGCTAAACCCATATGGATTATACAGTGCTTGGGGGGGCCAGCATTCAGGCTGAATTCAGGGAACTGGAGCACAGATCCAATTCCCTAGATCAAGAGCCCCTCACCAGGGGATATACAGCTCTAACAGCCAAAAACTCAACAAAGACAGCTATGGTTGTGTATTATGGTAACTCAGACAGCAATGTCGGACATGTTTTTTTAGGGTTATCTTAGGTAATTTACACTATGTATGATAATTATACTTATATATACATGTGCCTAAATAAACTTACTAGTGGTGTTACTAGTGGTTTGTCTTGATCTGGCTTATTGCTGGGTTAGGCATTATTAATACCTTAATACCCTGACAGTAGCAACAGGTGGTAATTCTATGACCAGTAGTACTTAGTACTGCCCTATTTTTTTTTTACAAATATATAAAAAAATACATAGAAAAATAATCGTGGTCTTGTAATAAGCGACACAACAGTGGTAAATTATACCACTGCATCAGTACCTGCCTTGACAGGACTAACATGGACTGAGTCTGACATAATACCTATGCACAAATTTCATCCCTTGTGCTAATCTGAAGAACAAATCACTCTGGGATTTGTTAATTATTTTAACATTGCTAATATCACTTCATGTGTCGGGCACCAAGACATGACCAAAAAAAAAAAATGTGAAAATTCCCACTATCACCACTCACACAACTATAAATGGCTTCTACAAGCACATATCACTAGATAAAATGAGAGAAACAGCAAGCAAGTGTGTTGAGATAAGAGCCAGTGACGAGTACTCTCTCTTTAAGGTATTTGTAGGTGGTGGTGGGGGAGGTGTGAGTGGCTGTTATAGTGTGGTTCATAGTGGGTGTGGATCACTACCAGCATGGTGTGGTCACCATCATGGTGTGGTCACCAACATGGTGTGGTCACCAGGTCACACTCACCCTCAGTAAGGGCGTGGTTCCTCCTCTATGAGCCACCCTCCACTCGTCCTTGACACTCACCACCAACCATCTGTTTATCTGACGATGGTAATGGTGGTTCTCCCATAACCATTACCGTTACCCTTACACCACCTCCTACCTCAGCACCCTTTACCATTAACCCCCTACCATTCTTTATTTCCCCCACTCCTCCCACTCAGTTTTCTAGAAAAACGGTATTGTGTGAATCATGATAAACGCGTTTTCTTCTTTAGTTATTATTATTATTATTATTATAATTAAGGGGGAAGCGCTAAACCTGTAGGATTATACAGCGCCTGGGGGGGGATGTGGAAGGCATTCAGGCTTAATCTGGAGTTTACCTGGAGAGAGTTTCGGGGGTCAACGCCCCCGCGGCCCGGTCTGTGACCAGGCCTCCTGGTGGATCAGCGCCTGATCAACCAGGCTGTTGCTGCTGGCTGCACGCAAACCAACGTACGAGCCACAGCCCGGCTGATCAGGAACTGTCTTTAGGTGCTTGTCCAGTGCCAGCTTGAAGACTGCCAGGGGTCTGTTGGTAATCCCCCTTATGTGTGCTGGGAGGCAGTTGAACAGTCTCGGGCCCCTGACACTTATTGTATGGTCTCTTAACGTGCTAGTGACACCCCTGCTTTTCATTGGGGGGATGGTGCATCGTCTGCCAAGTCTTTTGCTTTCGTAGTGAGTGATTTTCGTGTGCAAGTTTGGTACTAGTCCCTCTAGGATTTTCCAGGTGTATATAATCATGTATCTCTCCCTCCTGCGTTCCAGGGAATACAGGTTTAGAAACCTCAAGCGCTCCCAGTAATTGAGGTGTTTTATCTCCGTTATGCGCGCCGTGAAAGTTCTCTGTACATTTTCTAGGTCGGCAATTTCACCTGCCTTGAAAGGTGCTGTTAGAGTGCAGCAATATTCCAGCCTAGATAGAACAAGTGACCTGAAGAGTGTCATCATGGGCTTGGCCTCCCTAGTTTTGAAGGTTCTCATTATCCATCCTGTCATTTTTCTAGCAGATGCGATTGATACAAAGTTATGGTCCTTGAAGGTGAGATCCTCCGACATAATCACTCCTAGGTCTTTGACGTTGGTGTTTCGCTCTATTTTGTGGCCAGAATTTGTTTTGTACTCTGATGAAGATTTAATTTCCTCATGTTTACCATATCTGAGTAATTGAAATTTCTCATCGTTGAACTTCATATTGTTTTCTGCAGCCCACTGAAAGATTTGGTTGATGTCCGCCTGGAGCCTTGCAGTGTCTGCAATGGAAGACACTGTCATGCAGATTCGGGTGTCATCTGCAAAGGAAGACACGGTGCTGTGGCTGACATCCTTGTCTATGTCGGATATGAGGATGAGGAACAAGATGGGAGCTAGTACTGTGCCTTGTGGGACAGAGCTTTTCACCGTAGCTGCCTCGGACTTTACTCTGTTGACGACTACTCTCTGTGTTCTGTTAGTGAGGAAATTATAGATCCATCGACCGACTTTTCCTGTTATTCCTTTAGCGCGCATTTTGTGCGCTATTACGCCATGGTCACACTTGTCGAAGGCTTTTGCAAAGTCTGTATATATTACATCTGCATTCTTTTTGTCTTCTAGTGCATTTAGGACCTTGTCGTAGTGATCCAGTAGTTGAGACAGACAGGAGCGACCTGTTCTAAACCCATGTTGCCCTGGGTTGTGTAACTGATGGGTTTCTAGATGGGTGGTGATCTTGCTTCTTAGGACCCTTTCAAAGATTTTTATGATATGGGATGTTAGTGCTATTGGTCTGTAGTTCTTTGCTGTTGCTTTACTGCCCCCTTTGTGGAGTGGGGCTATGTCTGTTGTTTTAGTAACTGAGGGACGACCCCCGTGTCCATGCTCCCTCTCCATAGGATGGAAAAGGCTCGTGATAGGGGCTTCTTGCAGTTCTTGATGAACACAGAGTTCCATGAGTCTGGCCCTGGGGCAGAGTGCATGGGCATGTCATTTATCGCCTGTTCGAAGTCATTTGGCGTCAGGATAACATCGGATAGGCTTGTGTTAGTCAAATTTTGTGCTCTCTCATAAAAAATTCATTTTGGTCTTCGACTCTCAGTCTGGTTAGCGGCTTGCTAAAAACTGAGTCATATTGGGACTTGAGTAGCTCACTCATTTCCTTGCTGTCATCTGTGTAGGACCCATCTTGTTTAAGTAGGGGCCCAATACTGGACGTTGTTCTCGATTTTGATTTGGCATAGGAGAAGAAATACTTTGGGTTTCTTTCGATTTCATTTATGGCTTTTAGTTCTTCCCGCGATTCCTGACTCCTAAAGGATTCTTTTAGCTTAAGTTCGATGCTTGCTATTTCTCTGACCAGTGTCTCCCTGCGCATTTCAGATATATTGACCTCTTTTAGCCGCTCTGTTATTCTTTTCCGTCGCCTGTAAAGGGAGCGCCTGTCTCTTTCTATTTTACATCTACTCCTCCTTTTTCTTAGAGGAATAAGCCTTGTGCATACATCGAGTGCCACCGAGTTAATCTGTTCTAGGCATAAGTTTGGGTCTGTGTTGCTTAGTATATCTTCCCAGCTTATATCGGTTAGGACTTGGTTTACTTGGTCCCACTTTATGTTTTTGTTATTGAAGTTGAATTTGGTGAATGCTCCCTCATGACTAGTCTCATTTTGTCGGTCTGGGGCTCCATGCATACATGTCTGAACCTCAATTATGTTGTGATCTGAGTATATTGTTTTTGATATGGTGACATTTCTTATCAGATCATCATTGTTAGTGAAGATGAGGTCTAGTGTATTCTCCAGTCTTGTAGGCTCTATTATTTGCTGGTTTAAATTGAATTTTGTGCAGAGATTTAAAAAGCTCGTGTGAGTGTGAGTTTTCATCAGAGCTGCCTCCTGGTGTTTTTTTCTGCAACAATATTATTTGCTATATTCCTCCATTTTAGGTGCCTTAAGTTGAAATCCCCCAGGAGCAAGATGTTGGGTGCAGGAGCTGGAAGATTTTCCAGACAGTGGTCAATTTTTAACAGCTGTTCCTGGAATTGCTGGGATGTTGCATCCGGAGGCTTGTAGACTACCACAATGACTAGGTTTTGGTTCTCGACCTTTACTGCTAAAACTTCCACTACGTCATTTGAGGCATTAAGCAGTTCTGTGCAAACAAGTGACTCTGCAATGTACAGGCCAACCCCCCCCTTTTGCCTGTTCACTCTGTCACATCTGTATAGGTTGTAACCTGGGATCCATACTTCGTTGTCCAAGTGATCCTTTATGTGGGTCTCAGTGAAAGCCGCGAACATTGCCTTTGCCTCTGCAAGCAGTCCACGGATGAAAGGTATTTTGTTGTTTGTAGCTGGCTTTAGACCCTGTATATTTGCAAAGAAGAATGTTATCGGACTGGTGGTATTGTTGGTACTGGGGGGGGATTTTTTTTTCGGCATTAGTATCTGTATCTGTTGGTTTGGAGTGGAGGCCATCGACTGTGGTTCCACTCCAGGAATGACTGGATTTGGTGTACGATTTCTGCCATTTCCTGCCAGTTTTTTTTCCTTCCTGGCACTAAAAAACCTCTCCCTCTTGAGTGGCTGTGGCTACCCAGGTTTTCCCCTGGCCTGGATGTTTTGTATCTTTTGTCCCCTTTAGATGGTATGCCTGGCAATTTAAGTTATAGCACAGTCTTTCCTGTACTGAAGAGGTACACATTTCAGGGTGAAAAAGCTTACAGGAAGGGAGTTTGCATTTTCCTGTTTTCATATGGGCATGGCATTTTCTAGGGGGTCATAGTTGCATGTCCCATCTGTTTTTCCAGATTTCCCATGCCAGCAGATACCAAGTGCATAGTATGTGCACAGTCTTGGTTTCCGCTTGCCTTGGGTTTCTGTGACTGTATTCCCTGTTGGTGCATGTTTCCCTGTCTTACTTCTATCCTCCCTAGCACCAACAATGGAGCTCCCACCAGTTGTTTTTGGTAATTTTTCCTCACTATTGCTATTGGAGTCCTCTTGTTTGCTATTTCCTGCGGTATTTCTAGTTTGCAATATTGGTTTTATCTTATCTTTGACTACACTTGTTTCCCTACTATGGCTCCTGTCCCCTATGAGGTCATTTATATGTATTCCTTCCTGCGTATAATTCCCGACTCCCTGGACAATATCTCCAGCTTCACCATTTCTGTCTCCCAGGACAGTATCTCCAGCTTCACCATTTCTGTCTCCCAGGACAGCACCTCCAGCTTCACCATTACTGTCTCCCAGGACAGTATCTCCAGCTTCACCATTTCTGTCTCCCAGGACAGCACCTCCAGCTTCACCATTTCTGTCTCCCAGGACAGTATCTCCAGCTTCACCATTTCTGTCTCCCAGGACAGCACCTCCAGCTTCACCATTACTGTCTCCCAGGACAGCACCTCCAGCTTCACCATTACTGTCTCCCAGGACAGCACCTCCAGCTTCACCATTACTGTCTCCCAGGACAGCACCTCCAGCTTCACCATTACTGTCTCCCAGGACAGCACTATCAGCCCCACATTTACTGACTACCAGGACATCACCTCCAGCCTTACAGTTTATGACTACATGGCCAGTATACAAGGCAGTACCATTCAGCCCAGACATTTTATGTTCCCATCTGTTGTAGAAAGCTTTCCAGGTTTTCTATGAAAGCAGCTTTGATGTTGTCCTCTTTTAATACCCTTGTGATTTTAGTCCACAGTTTTTCCTCATTTGAGCATACCAAAAACACTTCTCTGTTTTAATACTGCTTGTAGCTAGTTCTGGGATATCTGCACAAGGGGCGTGACACCAATTTCCACAAAAATGACAATTTATCCATGTGGAAGCCCGTTTGTTTGACTGACCACAGACTACACAGGGCTTCATAATGATTTGAATGGTTGATTTACTGCAATTCTACTAGCAACCTCTTGAAAATTCTATTAATAACCTTAAATGAAGCTCTAGCTATTTGTATTTCTGTTTCTAACTCTTTTTGTATATTGGACAGCTTACCGTCACGTTCCTGATTTTTAATGTTTGTGTTTATAGGGCGCCTACAACCCCATCCGTTTACAGTCTGCTTTATTCGGGGAACTGGAGCACAGATCCAATTCCCTAAATCAAGAGCCCCTCACCAACATCAAGGAACCTTCCCTGAGGGGT